GAAGATATTACAAGAAAGGACTGAAATGGCTATTTCCGGTTCATTAATAATTAAGTAAATTGACATTCGAATGAATTATAATTATAGAGATAAAAGAAACTATTCAGCTCGGTTTAAAAACTTCATTATCTATATTCTAACGCATTTTAAAAACTACTAAGAAAATGTCATCTTTTCATTGAATCATTTGCCACATTATTCCTTTAATCTTATCTATTTCAGTATGTGACCGAGGCAGCTAAGGCGGATTCCTCTAGTTAATGAGTAAATTAGGTGTTTACGATAGACTTACCTCCACGTGATGTACCCTGGGCAACGCATGCTCAAACGGCACAAAAAGTCTATTAACCGGGAGTTGACTTCTGACTTCAAACTACCATCACCCCACTGTATGTCATACCCCCCCCCACTTCACAGTACTCACATCACCTTGCCTTTTCTCTACCTTTGTGTCTGCCTGTCTCTTCCACATCTGTAAATCACTCTTTTGTTCCCCCTCCCGAATTTTTCTCACTTTGATGTTCCTCCCTCTGTGAAGCCCAAAGTCAACTACTTGGCTAATGCTAACTAGCATGAAGCCTGTCATTTGATAAAATAAATAAGCTAATTAGAATTATTTTTGCTATATGGGATAAAGGAGCTCACAGTGACAGCGAAAACAGTGAGACTCCCTCCAAATAGCTTTAGAAACTAACTTCCAATCGACATTAACTTCACAGATAATCGGAAATTTTCTGCCACGAAATACACCAATTATAACGACGGAGTAAAGGAAAACTACATCTCCGTGTTAAACTAGTATTAAACAATCATTTTGGTAAACACCTGGACTAAATAAATTTGTTCATCGATGTAAAATATTTCCCCTAATTCGATAAAGGGTATTTGTGCTAATAGATAATAAAAAATTGTGGAGCAATCTACTGACTTTTCAGTGGATAATAAGGGCTCAGACGATAATGCTTTAAAACGGAATATCATGAAGACCAAAAGACAGTTAATTGGGTTAAAGCAACCAGAAAATGTTAAAGTTCACTTATTGTTCTCCCCGTGTTTTGGTAAATGAAAAAGGCTACTTAAGACGCTCTTAGGCAGGGGTACTTTTGGGCCTATTCAACAATGAGAGAGAGAAGTTTTTAAATACTCTCTGAAAAAGTTCACTTGTGAAACCCAGCCACACAAATTATAAGGCGGCAGTTTAAAACTATGAGTAGATCAACGACAAGGTCACATGCCGTCCGAAATTTCATCCTAACCAGGTTTACTGAAATGGCCTCTTCAACATTGGATATAGTTGGCTGAGGCAACTTCTAACAATTGCTGACGAGTGCAAGAAGTCCATTTATCGCAGAATCAAACTTTGACCACAACTGAAAGGTGTGTGTGCGTCTTTTAAAGGGGAATTAAGATAGATGTATGAGTTCTCGGTGCCAATGACTATTTGCAAATGAAGTTGAGATAAAAAATATAGGTGGAAAGATCACCACAATCTCAAAGATTAATTGAATAATTCATTTTTCCCGTAGATGGGTGCGATATAAATTGCGTAAAACAAGGTCACATGTTAACATTCTGGTCTGGTGTTATAGAAAAGAAGGTGACGTTAAGATAATTTTGATAAAATTCAAGTCACGAAGGCAGGCATAGAAGAAGGAAGATTTTTCCCGATTCTTGTACTCTCAATCCCACTGTTCTTATTTCCTGAGTTTAAAATTTCACAATCTTCACCCCCTCGAGGTGTCTAGAAATCCCCCCCCCCCTGATTATAGGTTGTAAAATACGTCAGGATATAGGTGAATACGAGATACTACTGATAAGTGAATATTGATAAGCCGAAAATTTAACCTATCAAACATCACTCATATTTGCGTAAATAAGTGTGGACACATTACTCATCTTTAATCCCTTACATAAACTTATCGAAAAGAAGCTCTTCAGTGATTTAGCTAATAAAATGAGCTTTTTTCATGGTAACAGAAGAAGTAAAGACTAATTTTATGGTAATATGGTTGGATGGTTAATTGGAAGTAACTAGAAGTTATCATCTAATTGCGATTACAAAATTTTGTCCAAGTAGAAGAAAAATACCTCTAAATAGTAAACTCCTTCTAAAGTAAACGTGCGGATCAGTATTGAATCTGAAGAGCATCTCAAAAATTTGCTAATTTTCTAAAAAAAGTACATTCAATATCTTTAAAGTTTCATCTCACCGAAGAATTGGAATAAAACAATGGCTTCTATTCTCTCCAAATGGGGACAACTAAGAGAAGTGATCATAATCAATTTTAATTCTAATGTCATTTCTTTTAAGAATTGGTCAACACATTTTACCACCGAATTTTCATCTTTATCGATTCTAAAGTACTCGAACCTTTCGAAATAGAGTAAGAAATGAGGAAATAATGCCACAATTGCTTCAAAGAAACGAATACTTAATGTAGAATTTAAAAAAACTACTCTATTCATAGGGCAAATGAGCTGTATTATTGATTTTTAAAAAACAAACTTGATGAGTAACCAGCATTCGATGCCCATGAATCTTCAGCAAACATCAATACTCGATAAAATCAAGAAAACTCTAAAAAACAACGATTTTTGATGATCGAAGTTTAAGTAAACTAATCGTTAAAGAATGAAATTAGAAATCGGGAAATTGAAAATACTGAGTTAGTAACAAGGAAAGGTGCTAAGCAATTAGTAGAAATGAAATTATTAATAAGAGCATTCCACATTCTGTTAATGTTAATTTCTAAATTAAAGTGTGTGTGGGGGGGGGGAGGGGGANACACCATAAAAGCAGCTTTACGACTACCTCTCGGGGTGGAACATCTTGTGCATATTGGGTAGATGGTCGTTGCCTCTTATCCACAGCATTCTCTAATCCTTTGGCACCTACTTCCATCTTTTATACAATTAACTGCACCTCTTCTTAGCTTGCCTTTTCTCTAGGAGATTCCTCAAAAGAACCGTCTACTTACATCACGGTCTCTATAGTACCTTCAGTAAGCATGAAATTCTGTGGGAGTAAAAGGGGGGGAGGATTATACTAATATGAAGACAATAAAAATCGTCAACTGCTTAGCAACGTAAAGGCCTGGAATCGAATGGAAACAGTGGCTCACAACCATCTGGTCATCTTTTATGACAAATCATTAGTCTTTATAATAAATTTGCATCTACGCATCTTTAATTAATGAAAGCAAGTTTGCTTAGTAGTAACAAAGCTTTTTCTTGCACAACACCGTACGAGAAAAAATCAATTAAATTAATTGCGAAAAACAATAGCATAGTCAGGATTTTAACTAGACGTTGGTGAAAGCAGTTATGAAAGGAATTATTTCTATGTGTGAAACAAGCAATAACTTTAGCATTAATCCGCGTCAGAATAAAGGTGGACGGAGTTCAATTCACAAAAGTTCTCAATAGCGAGTAGAATGCAAATAATACATTTATTAAAATGTCAAATACCCACATTGCAAGATAGTTTGTTGATAATTTAAACAAAAATTGATTGCGTTAAATGCACTTTATTTTTAATTACAATTATGCACCTGAATTCGAAATTAACTTAGTATCCAGAGAGCTCTTTTTTAAAATAGTTCGCATATAACCCATGATCATGCATTCATTTTCTGCAATGACCACAAATTTTATTTCTAAGGCCTCACTAAAAACGGTTAGAATATTAAAAATAATGACTACTTAAAAATCACTATAACAACATATCTTTTACTTTGAAGATTAAATGAGTAGAGAATCATCAGATAAAGTCGGTAAAAATCGATTTGTAGGATTTAGAATGAATTACCTAGTGAAATAATACGGTTTTCCAGATAATAATTAACACAATATTTAATTTACTTTTCATGAAAAAATGTCCCTAATTTCCTTATTTATCCCTAGTGAAACGAATATTTCGCTAAAATCGAATGACCTTTATATTTGTAAGGCATTTCCACGGCTATAACCCACAGCCAAATAATGTTTCCGCAAAAATAGAGCATAGCCCTCTATACTTGGTTTAAAAAAGTTTAGAAAAATGAAATTTCGCAAACTTTTCTCCATTTTGCCGTAATCAAGTAAAACACTTAAATGGTCCAGCAACCTAAATACAATAAGGTAAAAGATTATTAATAATTTTTGTTTAATTCTTTTGTGCATATCTATCCGATTTCCTGTTTACAGTTTCACTTTGACGGTAGTTCCAAAAACTGACTAGGATTAATGAATGTTTTTGTAAGATAGTGTCATTATTTAAAATTAGTAGGTGGATGTGAATTAAAATGAAACAAAATCTCTTAGGTATAGGTTAATAGAAACTGAAAAGATTTCATATAAAGACTAGGAAAAACGTAGGAATTAATTTAATTTATAAAGGGATCTCAATCGCAACGACTGACCGTCAACGGTTAATTGAAATACATGAACATTCCTTTAAGTTTTGTTCAATCAAATTTTGCTGATCAATGCTATTAATAATGGGGTGTGCGATAGACTTACCTCCACGTGGTGCACCTTGGGCAACGTTTACTCATACAGCAAAAAAGTCTATTAACCGGCAGTTGACTTCTGACTTCAAAATACCATGACCCCATTGTATGCCATATTCGACCACTTTCACAGTACTCATCTTACCTTTTTCTTTGCCCTTGTGTCTGTCTACCTCTTTTAAATCTGTGAATCGCTCTTCTGCTCCCCTTCCTCGACTTTATGCTACTTTGATGAACCTTCCCTCTGTGAAGCCCGTAGCCAACTAAAGGGCTAATGATAGCTATCAAAACGCCTGCCACCAACTAAAGGGCTAATGATAGCTATCAAAACGCCTGCCATACCGAAGTCAGTTAAAGGGCTAATGATAGCTATCAAAACGCCTGCCATTTGGAATAAATAAACAAATGCTATTAATAACTAGGTCTAGTATTTCAATAAGTGGGTTTGAATGCAATTATTTTTATGCGCTAATGAGCACGGGAAATAATACTTTTGTTAATTTAACTCACCTTGATCGTCTTCAGTATCAGTAACTGGATGCTCTCCCATCACGTCCGGTTTCTCCAACTCCAGTCGTGGAATGCCGCTAACTCTGTGTGACTCATATTTGTCCATTCTCTGTCGTTGTTTTTGGTCGATCATTGCATCCATCGGTCCTTCTACCTGCTCATCATAAGACTCGATTTCTTCCCACGATTCAATTGAGGTTGTCACTCGACGAAGTACTTCGAAGATGTTCAAGTAGTGCTGATGCTGTGCGACATGGCCAGCGGTCCAGCCAGACTATTGTGGACAACGGGGGAAGAAGCATAGAAGCAAGGGAAAAAATACGTCAATTCGTCATTTAATAGCTACAGATCACAAAGTTAGATGGACGCATCATAATGAAGTCATCCATGAATTCCTTTTAATTCCCCCCCACAAAAAAATGCTTCAACATTAAAGAATGTACACAACTATCGAGAATTTGCAGACTACTTCTCACACAATTCTGCCCCATGCTCCCTTTCTTTTAATTCATTTTTAATAGGCCAATAATGGGGTTTGTATCCCTTTAGTCTTAAGAGGGTCTAAATTTTTGCCAAAGGACAACTGGCCTTATTTTTTGAGCACCAAAACCGACCTTATTGACAGAAATATTGCTGCCTTAAGCTTTTTAAATGCACTCTACTATTCAGGTACTTTTCACTTTACTCATCATGGTATTATCTTAAATTCAGTTGTTGAAATCGTGATTTGATTTTAGTGTCTCAATTGCGAAGAAATTGGTGGAAACCTGAAGAGACAACCGATTAAAATGTTTAATCAATCCCATGGACAATGCTTTGAAAAAATATAACATTTCAAAATGATTAATCAAAGAACACAGAGTTCTGCTTGGGAAAACGAATATTAAATAAGTTTATACACCAGATTTGAACATAGATCAAACATATAATACTGAAAAATGTAGACCCAGTGTTCAGTACGTAAGCGTTGGCTTACTAGGCCAAATTATGTGATTCGATCATTAAGTAATCAATAATGGCCATCATGTTTGCCTTCACACCACTAATTCACCATCAAATGACAATACAAAGGCATTTTGAGTCAGTATTTCACGAATTTTATCACACTCCTACCTTATGCTTCATTTTGCTCTATCCACAAGAAAAGTTTGTTAGAAAATAAATAATTACAGGTTTGGAAAGTGAAACTTACATTATTCTTCAAATTAGGATCAGCACCGCTCTCCAATAACGTGTAGATAACTTGAGGGTGACCTTGTTGAGCGGCTAAATGCAGAGTACTCGAACCCAGCTCTGTTCGGGCATTGACATTACAACCTTTGGATATTAAGAACTTGAGCATATTTATCTGAAGCAAAGATAGCATAAAGATTAGCCTATCCTGCTTATACGCACTGCATCGGCAATCCAAATAATTTAAAATCAGCTATACCTGTCCGAAGTGACAAGCAGTGTGCAATGGGGTATAGCCAGCCTTCGTAGTTGGATCCAATTCGGCTCCGGCAGCAAAGAGGACTTCTGCTGCCTTTACACTGTCTTCTTGAGCAGCTAGATGCATAGGCGTGAGTCCATTCTATAACAGATGAAATTAAGGAATAGGCTTTCTAATAGCCATCATTATTATATGAAGCCTCCGACATACCTTAGCTCTAGCATTAACCTTAGCTTTGTAATCTAGAAGTAGCTTGACCATTTCAACGCTTCCATCTTGGGCTGCAAGATGAAGAGGTGTGAAACCGTTTCGAGATTCAGCGTTTGGATCGGCTTTGGCTTTCAATATTTGCCTAGCAACATCGACTTGGCATCTTTGGGCGGCTACATGCAAAGGAGTATAACCATTCTTTGTTTGTTGCCTCGTAGATGCCTTAAATTGAAAGGTAATGCAATTAATGTGTATGCACACTATTACACATATACAAGGCCAACTAACCCCTTTGTCAAGTAGAGCTCGAACAACATTCACAGATCCATAATGTGATGCTAAATGCAATGGAGTCAGACCGTTTCTCCCTGGTATATCCAAAGGTGCTCCAGCCTCTATTAACAATTCCGCCGGTTTCAAACGCGAGTATTTTGCGGCTAAATGCAGTGGTGTGAATCCCGACTATGAGTGAACGCAAACATTAAGCTGCACATTATAACCAACAGAGCTAAGTTAAGCAAGACGCCTTCAACCTACCTTTGTCATAACATCACATTGTGCTCCTGATTCTAGTAAGAGTTTAACAGCTTCATCATGCCCAGCTTTCGTAGCTACATGCAATGCGGAATGTCCATCTTTAGTAACAGTTTGGACATTTGCCCCGCCTTGTAAGAGAATACTTATTAATTCACAATTTCCCAACAGTGAGGCCACGTGAAGACATGTCTGATTGCCCTAAAAAATGAAATGAAAATATTTGACTACTTATAGATATCAGTAAAGTAACATTTCCAGACACTAGACATACTCTTGATTTTGCATCCACGATAGCACCATTGCGAAGTAATAATTTCACAGTTTCAATACGACCTGCTCTGGAGGCCAAATGAAGAGAAGTTTCATTGTGCATTGTTTGAGCATTTGGGTCAGCGTTATGTTTTAGAAGCATCACGACGATATTTGTATTTCCCATAAATGCGGCCACATGGATGGGCGTCAAACCGGACTAAAAGTGGAAAAAAAGAACAAAGGCATTGTTAAAAGAACTGCAACCCTACCTCTGTTGCAATATCCACTTGACATCCATGCTTTAGAAAGAGTTCGACGACTTTTATGCGATTCTTTTTACAGGCGATATGAAGAGGTGTAAAGCCATTCTAAAAGTAGAAATCAAAGTAAGAAATGTGTGTCTGTATTGGTGGCGCCATATTTATTAACTTAAAAATATAAAAGCAGTAATAACACAATTTGCTGGTTAGTTAAATTCGAATAAGCTTGAAAGTTAACAGCTAAATCTATCTTTGGCAATTTTCATTCATGACTTCGATAGTATGTGCTTATTTTTGCGGAAAGATGAATAATTTTGAGGCTTAAATGCCAAATATTATTAAACGCATATTTGCATAGACAGACGAAAAAAAGGTTCCATATCCTTGACTCCTACTATTCTTTCAAAATAGCTTTTATAAGTTAATAAATGGGTGGGGGAGGGGGGGGGGGAACTTGAATGCCATATGCTAAGATAAGATGACAAGATCATCACGTTACCCACATTCCTGGGTGTTCTTTTTCTTGAAAATAGATTGAGTAATTGTAAACATAAAAAATCTTGAATTTTGATGACATTAGATATATGACGGTTTCGTCTACACAGTTAGTTAATTAGATTGAGTGGCAAAGGCATGGAGTAGAGTAATTAAACAGCTCTCACGAAACACTCCCGTACGACTGAAACCCACATTATTTCGGATACTGTCTACAAATTTAGGAAAAAAAGATTTTAATCGAAGATTTTAATTACTACTTAATACAAGCCTACATACATCGTGCGAAAGTATTTATTTCCACAGAACTAAGCTGAGCTTGGAGTGGTGATTGCGGAAATATTTAATATGTAGGTGGACAAGGTTGTAGCTTACCCGAGCTCTGGCGTCCAAGTCACTGTGGGCATCGAGTAGAATCTTGGCCACTTTGACACTTCCACAATGTGCGGCTACATGAAGGGCCGTCAGATTATCAAATGTGACGTCATCTACATTGGCCCCGTGAAGGATCAGCAATTTTGCACATTCTGGATGATCACCTTGGGCGGCCATGTGTAGGGCAGTCAAGCCACTCTAGAAAATAGGGCCGGAGTGCGAGAAGGGAGTTTGTGATTATCTACATTCAGTTCCTAAACAATGCTATTCTTTTCTTTTCTGATGAACAAACACATTCCAGCTACTAAAGGTATTTAAAAGAAGAATCGAGGCTAAGAAAGATTTTAGAAGATTTAAAATGAAATTTGGGATTCGCTAATACTGAAAATCGATAAAATGACCCAATGAGTGATAATCAAGTTGGGAAAGATACTTCCTAAGCTCAACTTGTAAATACTCAACCTTTACATATGGATCAAAATGGTGTCACATCCAAATCTGTTCAGATATGTACTTTCTCTCCACTTTCTGTCGATATTCAAATATATATATATATAAAGTTTTGCTTCAGCCGACCTAGGCGGTTATGAATTTCTTCAACCAGGAGGATTTCTCCACTTTCAAGACTGTTATCAAACATTACGATCTTATCAAGGTATTTGATATGCCACTCAAAATCTTACTTTTTTCCTGACCAACTTGAATTATTTATGCAAAGATAAAAGGATCGCATTCTTTCATTTAAATGGACTATGTAAATAGATATAAACAGTCATTATTGGAGCTGAGAGTGTTGTCAAAGTTTCATCTCTATCGTGGGAGTATGAAGAATTCAAAGAAAGCATAATCGTTTGCTTCCAAAATTGAAAAAATGTCATTTACTTAGAAACAAAAACAGAAAACCTAATAATGGCCCAATCATCAATTCATTAAGCTAATAAAGATGAAAATGTCAAGTCTTCAATAAGGTCAAAAGAATTGAAGCAAGCTAAGTGTATATGAAGTAGGAACAGAGAAGACTAGCACTAAACAGCCCTTGATAACTCCGTCGAAAGTAACACATTAAGATAGTATTAATATCAAGTGGCCAATATTCATGCCGGTTTGGCACAATCGAGAGTGTCTTACAAATGTAAAATTCTTCCTATCTATATATATAACTTTTTAATGAGTGGAAAAAGAAGCCATTCACCTCTTTATTATTCCAACTATGCAAATTGTTTTTAGCTCATTCCTTCAACATTATAACAATGATGCTTTTTTTGATCTCATATCACCTTCTAGAGTGCATTGAAACTGAGTTGAAGGAAAACTTACCCTTGTCTTTGCAGAGTAATTCGCACCGCTATTAAGCAGCAACTGAATGACTTGAGAATGACCTGAGCGCGCAGCACAGTGGAGTGGAGTTAAACCGTCTCGAGTGAAGCATTCGATTTGGGCACCAGCGGCCAGTAAGCGTTCAACAACAGCAGAATTTCCCCATTTGCTTGCCACGTGGAGGGGCGTCACGTTGTTCTGAATATAGTACATTTTGTCAAAATGATTACAGCTCAAAAATGTTAAATATATAAATATTGAACGCTTAGTTCAAATGAATTTAACATAACTCATGCCTTGCTATTGGGGGGGGGGGGGGGGGGAGGAAATTATAGGCAAAAGCATTTAATCAATATTAATTACTAATATTAAATTAGCACGAGAGACTGAAAACCTGGCTAACCTAAGGCCAATTTTGATTTTATGCGTGTGCGTGAGTGCGTGCGTGTGTGTGAGAGTGAGTGTGTAAAAGCAGGTTTTCCAGCATTTTATTTGGCTTCTGGCGCAGAAAAATTCGTATCGTATTGAGACCAACATATACGAGGACTTGAAAAACTCCAGAAGCAATACTGGATTTCATCTTAGTATACACTCCAAATTACGCTGAAAGGGCACAAACAAGCCCAAAAAGGGTTAAGCCAAGCAAAGAGTTCACTACACGTCAATAATCTACTAATTTGGAGACTGCAAGCTTTTGACAACGAAGCACATTACAATGGATCTATTGCGGCCTTCAGAGAAGAATCAATCTTTAGTGCATTAGGTAGTAGTGTTGACAGTGTGTTAATTGCAAGTTCATGGCTAATAACGCAGCGGCCTTCAGTAAAGGGAGATTAAAGAATTCCTTTTGACTAATGGGAAAAGTTATTTCTTGGTTTATATTTATATTAAATGAAAGAAAATTATTTTTTTTTTCAATATCTATGAAACCAAGAGATTTGATAAGCTTGTTAAACTTAAGTGCAGGCGTGTAAGATAAAGGTATAAAGACTGAAATTGTCCTTGCCAAGGTTAAGTTTAGAGCCGGAGGCTAACTATAAGCAATGAATGAATCAATACAATGTGTTACTTAATTTAAAGTGTTCTACCAAAACAAAAAACGCCTAATCAAATTAGAATATTAAAACCAACTGCCGCTTTCCATTCAAATGCCAGTAGAAGCAGGAGAATAGTGACGCGAGTAAGCGTAGTCTTTGATTTTCTAAGATCACGCTTAAATCCACCAAATGTGGAAGTACAATCATTTTGTCTGATACCTATTAAAGCTGTATTAACACTTTAAATTTAGATATCTGATTGGTATTTAATAATGAATTGATTTTACCTTGACGCCTGAAAAAAATCGATACGAAATCGAAAAGATATTTAAGTTAGTTAAGTATTGATGATGGAAGCGGACAATTTAATTGACAAAATTTGTGATTAGAGAAAAATTTATTTAAACAAGTTGGAGGGAATCGAGTTTTTGCAATAGGGCATTTATTGTATTAAAACAAACGGGATATTCAAAGAAGACTAATTCTCCGTTTCACCTATCTCTACCGCGTTAAAAACCATGTAAGATTATTTTGCCTTCACAACCACTGGAAGAAACTAGTGAATATTGAGCAGCTCGAATGCAAAAAAAACGAATAGCCTGTGGCCCTTTTATACCTTAGCGTCGCTTTCAGCGCTGTCTTAACCCCAACCTCAATTTTTTATAAATATTTCTGTAAATTGGTCTTAGTGGGGCTTCATGAATGAAAACGTTGACACTATATTTATATTACTGTGCAGCCTTTAATGAATAATAACATCAGCTGAAAACATTTATAAAACTAAGAACCGGAAGCGTTTTAAAACAACGGGATTCCCGAAATTACACAATAATTAAGCATGCACACTCGATAAATAGAAATGTGTTCCTAACGAAGAAATTTCCCTAAATACTACAAGTTTTGATGTTACAATATTTAAAGTTGTCGGAGAGTAAAACCAAAAAAACAAAATTATAACTAACTTTTTTAACAAATTTTTTCACAAAGCAAATTTAATTGATATGAGGTAGCACGGCCTTAGGCCACTTCTCAAACGTTGGCAGGTGACACTTGAGCATGTCAACCTGCATAAGTCACATATTAATCCAAGAGGGCTCTGACAACCTTTCCACTTGGACTGGAATCATAAATCACGTATATTTTTAATTTCGTCTACCTGCCTTTTGTACTAAAAACTTGACTCACCTTCTACAACTATGGAAATGAAAGACTTTTGCACATAGCACCAGTATGATGTTTAGTTAAGCACTAAACGGAAAGCCATTATTTTGTGTTTATTCTAAAGAAATACTTTTAATTACAATCGGTCTAATCTATAAAATAGGCCAGAGTAAAAAAAGATGATTTTGTTCGAGATTGATTGCCTATTAATTTTATATTTTTGATTGCTTTGTAAATAAGGCCAACAAATTAGGTGATGGCATTATCATTTTAATCAAAAACAAATGCTTAGACGCATAATCATTAAAGATAGTCCTACTCAACAGTAGCGCGCACAAATACAGAACCAAACTTCGAAATTTTTTGAAATTATTTTGAATTACCACTGAAATTACACTAAGATGAAGGAGTTTTTTTCCGAAACTATACTTTATTTCATCCCACAATACACAAGAGACCTTAGGTAAACTGACGGTAAACCATGTGCCCCTGTTCATCTAATTGTTTTGATCATTAAGGCGATACAAGAGGCAACACATGGACGCTTGCAATCCTAGAAAAAAAAATAATTTCAGTACTTTAAGTCATGCTTCCAGTAAATGATATTAACAACTGTGTTGGTTAAATTTGGTCAATAACCGCGATTTTCTAATAGCGTATGGTTTTGTAATGCGCTTAAACGTATTTCTCGTCCACGGGCATGGAGCTACAATTCATTAAAACAATGGGCATGGCCTTCAAACAGATTTCATCCGCAAATATTCTGAATGAAAACTTCTGGAGACTTATTGACCCAATGTAATCCTGAATTTTGTCAGCTAAACCACACACAATTTAACGATAAGTATTCAAAAGTAAGAATCTATTCTCCCTCCAGAGTGTCCTGAAATGGAGAGATTAGTATTTACTATAAGTGGATGTTCAATTCTAACGTATTCAAAGTTCCGTTTACATAATAATCAAACAAAATATATTTTTCTCATGTACTCGTTTTCTCTACTGGCTTATGGGAGTATGCAAGGGTATATCCTTTGGAAATACATCGATGCTTACTAATTCCTTAATTTTCTCTGCATGTAAATGTCAACTATCATTGCCATTTAACCACATAGACGATTGATTGCATGCCCGCTCATTTCTTCACTGATGTTCTGTCTTTAATAGGGGTGGTTATATGTGATGAGTCATTGGCCTTCTAACAATCCTTGACCCGTGGTCAACGTGCAACTTGTCAATTCCATGTTTAGTTTGAAAGAGTAAAGTGCAGACACGACGCTTTTATGCAGAAATTAGGTACATATGCATGGGAAGGCAATAACTCGCGCACACACACACACACACACACACACACACACATACACGCACTTCTATAAGCATCTTTTGGGGATTCTAACCTCTAATCTCAAGGGAAAGGTCCGTCATAAGTCTGTCAGGACATCAAAAACTTGTTGATAAACAACCTTAAAGAGAAAAATTGCAATGGTAAATGGTCCTTTGACCCTTTAATGCCCTTAGGACTGCACGGTCCTCTGCCAAAATAGGCTCCATTGGAATAAGATTCATAATAGAAGGCGCGCTATTGCCGTTTGAAACGTGTTCAATACGTGTCTATAGTCCTCGCTTGATACCACCAAAGCTTACTACGTCGACATCAGTCTACTGTGAGTGCGGTTGGGTGCACTTTTCATAAAAAAATATTCGAGCGTCAAAGGGTTACGCTTTTAACTTTTTCAATTAGGATTGGTTCTCATGAAAATTAATACGATATATCCAATCAAGCTCATTTTCATCCGCATCTGGTTTCAATGAGGCTCACATCCAGTTACTTGGATATGCTAACACATCGGTCAATTTGGGTTTAGAGAGATTTTAAAAAGAACCTCAGAATGAAACGTCGTTAGTACTTCAGGTTCGGTAACAGAGGCACAGTCCTGCCAGCAAGCATAATTGTGCAAAAGAGAATTAAAAGTTAATGAGAATCGTTTTCACCAGAAAAGATATCATTTTTTTATTTTTGAAAATTTTTGACTTTTCCCTGTTCTCAGTTTAGTTATTTCAGCAAAAAAAGCTGGGTTTCAGCCGGAACTTGATTCAAATTTATTTACATAAACTATTTAGGATATAATGCAATAGCCAATCAACGTGCAATAGTAAAAATGCACAATACTTCCCTTCTCTAGGCTGGATTCCAACAAAACGGAGGCCATCCAATAACTGGAAGACATGAAATTTTCACTGGCAAGGTGATGACAATCGTAAACCGAAATGTAGAGAAAGCTTTTCGGTTTTGGAGTCAGTTTGCTTTTTTTCACTAATTTTCCCCTTAGAAACCATGATTCTAACCATTTTAGTGAAATTAAACCAATCTGATCTCTGGACATCCTGAGGTGAGTAAGTGTCTTATTCGTGGCGCTTGACAATGACAGCATAGGCGTGTGAACTATTCAGCCAGTTTCTAGACGCATTACTCACGTCATCGCAGTCTTACTAGACACGGCCCTTTCTAAGGTGCCCTTCCGATCCCTCCTCCACCCCTCCATTCCACGCGCTTTGGACTTTCACCCACAAACACACACACACATGCTTGCATCTGGTACTCATGTGTCAACATAAACTTCAATTCTGTCTAAATTATGGACGTACTGTTTCTGCGTAGGTGAAGGTGTGTATGTCTAGATGTAAGCACTCCTGAATGAAACATGATTAGATTAACTCAAAAATACTGTTATCCTAGAAGAGTGGATTTCCAAGAAGTGGCTCACGAGAAGATAAATTCAAGAATATTTGTCCGGATCAAAAGATACCAAAGACCATATTCCAATGTATAATCGAAAGACCGGCTATAAGTAAACATTATACTAACAGCAATACTATGGCTTATGAAAATATAGTTTCACTCTTGAAAAAAAAATATTGACAGCTTCTGTTCTTGTCAACTCACACCCACCTCAAAACGACCTCAAAGGAAACCAAAGTTACCAAATAAAAACAAGCACTTTTGGGAACCTTTCGCTC